AGAGAAACTCTGCCTCGGGCTTCCTGTAGTCAGCCGCTGGTCAGTTTCAGCAACGGCTGAATCTGGACGCCAGTTCCGAATTACGTTCAAATTCAACTTAAGAACAAACCTACAGTCCCTATCTTGTACGTAACCCGGGGTCTGCCTGTACTGCATCTGGAGGTGCGGGTACTGAGTACCTGGCAGTACCATCACAAAAAAAGCACTGGATATAGCTAAACCTAAAAACTGTAAGAGACAGAAACGTACCGTAAACTTTTATCACTTTTATAATATGTATTCAAAAATACTGTCACGCAGGGGAATATGTATCAATGTGGACCCTACAAATTATGCCCCTGTACATTTTTATTCTCACTATTATACTGTAGGTGTTCACACTGTTAAATATCTGATGCATCATATGTATTCATTTAGGTAAATGGAAGAACCTCTCCTAAACTCTGCAAGTCCTTCAGACCATTAAAAACATATTGCACTAAATAGTCTGTATCCAAGCGATTCATAATAATGTTTGTCCAGAAGATAAGTAAATTTAACCATAATAACTTAGCATATCAGCATAAAACCAGTAATTTTATATTGGTCTGATAAGTCTACCCTCTTCCTTTTCTGCTTTCTCCTTGCTTCACAGTGTGGAGACACGGTCTTATATTTGCTTCTTCTGAGTTTTGTATTAGATTACTACAATGGTTCTTCAACTTGTTTGATCACCCTTCCCTTCTTTGTGTCTGTAGTCATTTATGCTCCACTTTCCTCACTCTCTCCTGATGTGCATAGTCCCAGGGTGTCCAGTAGCACCACAGAAGTAAGGATGACAATGTGAAAAGTGATGTTTTTTAATTTCTCTTTTCACAGTAGACTTAGTGCCCCATTACCACCCTTACTTCTGCACTATTGCTGTCACCCCAGAGCTGACAGCCAGAGCCCTAGGCTGCCTTCCAGTGAGGTAGGAAAGGGTGGGTTAGAAGGAGAACAGGCTGCCCCCAGATGGCAGGACTCTAGCTGTCAGTCCCAAGGCAGCAGGGCTCTGGCTGTCTCCTTCATCCCCACCCCCAAGGTGTGAGCGACTCTTCTGCACAAGCCCCAGCCAACCAGGGCTGACAGCCAGAGTTCTTTAAAAAAAAGAAGAAAAAGAAAAAAAAACTTACACAGCTTGCAGCTCTCTTGGAAGGCTAACCCCATTGTTTGAGAACTGTTGGATAATAGATTAATGAATTCCAAAGTGGAAGGAACCACTGTGATTATCTAGTCTGACCTCCTATATAATACAGGCCACCAAACTTCCCAAAAAATGGTTCTTAGAACAAATATTTTAGCAAAACATCCAATTTTGATTTTAGAATGGCCAGTGATGGCGAATCCACCACAACCTTATGTTATGCCTTTCCCTGCCAGAGTTTGAGCCAATTGCTAAATATTTTATATGTATTCACTTACAGATTATCTTAACCTTCTCTTTGTTAAACAGATGGAGATACGACATCTTTTCTAATACTTTAAATCATGCTTGTGTCTCTTCTCTTATCCTTCTCCAATTAATAAACATCTTTCTTGAATTTTGGGTACCAAAACTGAACATAGTATTCCTGTAATTATGGCTTATATTGTT